AAACCAATAACTATTTGCAATGTCACTTCATTAGTAGGGAAAGCATTTCCGTTAGACATTGAGAAGGCAAACAGGACTTGAAGCCAGTGGTCAACAGGGTTTTTATTCAATATATTTTTTTATATTATTAAACACTTTAATTTTATTCTCTCTCTTAGCGTTGCCGATGATCAGGTTATTTTAGTAGGTAGTGAAGAAGACGCCCACTGCATAGTAATAAAAGTGAATGAAGAACATCCCAAATAAGCCTGGAAATAAATTTTTATAAAACGGAGTCTTTAGTACCAGATGAAAATAGTAAAAACTTGATAATGGAAAATTTATCATTAGTAAAAGCTATCTACAAATTCGACAATATTGGGTAATTAATTTCAGAAAAAAAAAAGTTATAACTAGACAAGTGCATCCCGTTGTATGAAATAGGAACAATAAAATTGGGTTAAAAGATATCTTTACAAGAATATTGTAGAGAGCATTGCAACACAAGGATCACAAGAGTAATAGATTACAAAAAAACACATATCGAATAAATAAGCACATTAAGCATTTCAAATTGATTTTGGAGATCGAAGTTATGGATTAATTAGGATGGACAGTAAAAAACTAAATAATACTTAAGAGGAATGTGAGAGGACAGAAGCCCTTTAACAATATATAAGTAAAAGCCAGCTCATCGAAGGAGAAGAGTGAGACCAAGCCATAAGCTTGAAGAAGCCATGAAAACCATACACCTCTAAATAGATGATTGAAGAGATAGGAAAAGGTTGAACTTAGGAAGCAGAAAATGCCGAATAGTGTAGACGTAATCGCATGGTGATGACGATGATGGACTTTTTGACTTTTAGTACTTAAAAAGTTTTATAGGTGACTTATTTAATTTCGTACATATGAGCTGTTAACTAAAATTTTTCACTCGCGAGGTTTTTATGCAATTTAGCTTAGTTTTAAGTTTTAGGCGGTAGAAATAACGGCCTATAGGAGTCTTATGAAACGAGTAGACAGAACAAGTCTGTTGCGAGTAGCATGCGCCTACAGGACTGTGTCTGCGGCAGCCTTATGGACCATCACTGGATGTGTTCCGTTGCATATTTTGGCGGTGGAAAGAAAAGAGCTTTATGAGAGAAGAGGCCCAAACCTTACTGTGGCTGAGAAAAGACAGGTAAGGGAAAGGTCAGTTGAAAGATGGCAAGAAGAATGGAACAATACGGAGGATGTGGCACAGTGGACGAAAATTCTGATCCCTAACATAAGAGTTTGGGTGGACTGTGACCACAGGCGATTGGATTATTTCCTGACGCAGGTGCTCACAGGACACGGGTGTTTTAGGGCCTACCTTTATAGGATCGGTAAGGCTGATACAGATGAATGCCTGTATTGTGGATATTCGGACACTGTGACACATACGATGTTAGATTGCAGCAGATGGATAGTGGAAAGGAACAGAATGGAGAGAGAGACAGGTGTGAATTTTGTTACAGTGAGAGAAATGATTGAGAGAATGATTGAAAATAAATTAGGTTGGATTAACATACACAGTTATATCCGTGCAGTGATCAAAGAAAAGGAAGAGGAAGAAAGACAGCTGAACCAACGGCAAAGGTAGAGTGAATGATGCTGAAAGGTGAAGTGGGTCACACTTTTTGAGTTAGAATGCGTGAGTATGACTGTGGGGAAAGAGGAAATATCCTTCTGAGAATGATGCCGAACTAGGAGTGTGAATGTGTATGAATGGAGAATGAATGAATAAAGGTAGTGCTTCGGAAGTGATGCCGGCCTTACAGCGGCCATTCCGCTTCCGGATTGCTGGATGACAGAGGAGGGTCTGGATTAGCAGGTAGGCGTTCGGCGTAGACTCGGCGACGAGAGGGCATTTTAAAGTACCTCGGGAACTATCGCCGGGAGTACGAAGAACGAATCCTGCACTAAGGTCAGTCAGGCGGCGTCCTGGACTGAGATGTCTTTTGAAGATTCCAGACCCCCCCTCTATAAAGACGAAAAAAAAAAAAAAAAAAAAAAAAAAGCTTAGTTTTAAGCATCGAGAATTTTCTTTTTTCTCTATGAAATCATGCACTACAAATTCAACTTTTAGACACTTCACGCATGGCCGAAAACAACAACGTAATCTTGTAATTGTCACACGATATTTCTTATTGTTCTCGTTTCTTCCTGCAATCTTTTTTTATTATATCGTGGTCAATTTAAAAGGAAATTATCGAATTAAAATAATTTGTATCCATAACTCATTTAATTATTCGTTTCCCTAACAAAATTGCCCATAATTTTAGAAAAAGGTATCATTAGCCGTCCTTTCTGTCACTGCACGCTGCACTTTGTGGCCAATTTTATATATAAGGCAACTGGACTTGTCATCACCGCAAATTGGTGATATCCTTTGGGCTTTTTTTCTAATGCGGGTGCCTTAAGTAAAAGCTAATCGACTTGTAGCATAAGGTATTGAGGGTTTTTAACTGTTGTGTTTTATTCCGCAATGAGTGAAAAATTGATAAAGGTCCTAACTAATAGTTTTTGCGTTTTTAATATGATTTTTGAAACGAACTATAAATAACAGTTAGCCAAATCAATATTTGCCAAAAAAATTGATCAACGAATTTAAATCAGTTCGACAAACAATAGTTAGTAATAAAAATAAATGAGAAAAATCACGTAGAAAAGACATGAGATTAAAATGGGAATAAAATAATAGAATTTGAAGGAAAAGTTTGCAAAACTCTTTCTACATAATACAGTATAGCCCAAAATAAACAGTACTCAACTTGAAATAATTTAATTTTTTAGGAATTGACCCCTTATTATATGTACTATTATTATTGAGACTTTATTACATGTTTTAAATGTGTCCTCCTCATTCAAGACAGACTTTATACCAGGTGTTTCATGTTTCAGGTTTTTCGTCGTGTTATGGAATAAGGGTTGCCTCAGGTCCGCGAAGAAGGCTCTAACGGTATCCTTCACCTAACGTCATGCCTAACGGCAAATGGTTTATGGTGGCCGTTTAAAAAGCCGTTCAGTAAATCATGAACTATTATATAAATCTGCTTGGAAATTGGCGAAATGCTACAGCAGTATGACATGTTGCCCCGTCTTGCTGTAAAAATTTGTCTCGAAATCCCAAATTACGATCACGCAGTTCAAGAATTACAGTCACATTAAGAATAAAACTAAAGATCATTAAAAAACACATACAGAAACAAATTGACGTAAGAAGACTGAATGAACAACATATAAACGAGAAAACAATAGTGAACATCAAAGAAAATTTACAAAATATAGAGAAACTGAATAGAAATACCGATAACATAGACCAAAAATGGGAGAATATTAAACATGCCGTAATGTTGGCAGGGAGAGAAAATTTAACACCGAAAGAAAGGAAACATAAAGAATGGATGAATGAGGAAATACTACAGTTGATGCGTGAAAGAAGGGTACACAAAACAAATAATCCGATTAGATACAAAGAAACAGATAAACTGATAAAAAAGAAAATAAGAGAAGCTAGAGAAAGATGGCTAAGTGAGCAACGCCAGGAGTTGGAACAATTGGAGCGAAAATATGACTTTTTTAATGTACACAAAAAGATTAAAGTAATGACAGGAAGGAGAAGAACAACACAGACTGGACAGATCAAAGATACAGATGGTATAATTATAACAGATTTACAACAAAAAATGAACCGACGGACAGAATACATATTACGACTGTTTGATGACAAAGATAGACAAGAAATCTCAAACGAATATACAGATGATACAGGGCCTGATATAATCAGAGAAGAAATAGAATATGCAATCAAACAAGCAAAAAGTGGTAAGGCCCCCGGTCCTGATGAAATTCCCGTAGAACTGCTCAAACTTATGGACGATGAATATATTAAAATACTCCTAGATCTATTTAACACAATATATAGAACTGGAATAATAACTAGGGAATGGCTCCGTTCGACCTTTATACTACTGCCAAAAAAGGCAAATACAAATGAAAGCAACGAATATCGTACGATAGCTTTGATGAGTCATACTCTAAAACTGTTCTTAAAAATAATCCATAATAGGATCTATAGGAAATTCGACGTAGACATCAGTAACACTCAGATGGGATTCAGAAAAGGGCTGGGTACAAGGGAGGCTCTGTTTGCAATGAACGTTCTCTCACAGAGATGCTTAGACATGAACCAAGAAATTTACGCCTGCTTTATTGATTTCGAAAAGGCCTTTGACAAAGTACAACATGAACCACTAAGACAAGTTCTAATAAAGAAAAATATAGACAGCCGAGATATTCGAATTATATGCAATCTATATTGGAATCAAACAGCAAATGTCAAGGTTGAGGGCAGACTAACAGAAGAAATTCAAATCCGTCGAGGAGTCCGGCAGGGATGTATCTTATCGCCACTTTTATTTAATCTTTTATATCTGTATAATATAAGGTATGCTAACGATACAGTTCTCCTAACGGAAACGCTAGTAGAGCTACAACATCTCGTTCAAAGTCTCAATATATACTGTAACAGTTACGGCTTGAAAATTAATTTGAAAAAAACTAAATTTATGGTAATCACGAAATCAAAGAACATCAGAGCTAATTTTGTAATAGACAATACAACGATTGAGCGTGTGCCCTGTTATAAATATCTAGGTGCTTGGATCACAGACGATACTGATCAAACAAAAGAGATTAGATGTAGAATAGAAATCGCTAGATCAGTCTTTAATAGAATGCGCAAACTCTTTTGCAATCGTAATATCAATATAAAGTTACGAATACGAATGCTGCGGTGTTATGTCTTTTCTACCCTGTTATATGGATTTGAGGCTTGGACACTAAAACAGTTGACCATAAAAAACATCAAAGCTTTCGAGATGTGGTGCTATAGGCGCATTCTCAGGATATCATGAATGGACCGCGTCACTAAATCGCAAGTACTCCAAACTTTAGACAAAAGATGCGAAATTATAAATGAGATAAAAACTAGAAAGATGAAATACTTGGGGCACATTGTGAGAGGTGAAAAGTACGAACTTTTAAGAAACATCATGCAGGGCAAAATTAAGGGCAAAAGAAGTGTGGGAAGAAGAAAAATATCGTGGCTTCATAATCTACGTGAATGGTTCGGGTGTAGTTCGATTGAACTTTTTAGGCGCGCTGCTAACAAAGTCGCAGTGGCCATGATGATTTCCAATCTCCGCTAGGAGTGGCACGAGAAGAAGAAGAAGTTCATGAATGAAGCGTGTTAAAATTTGTATGTACCTGTGTTGATTAAGTGTGACTTGCCTACCATTTTGCTCGATAAAGTACGGACCAAGAATTCCGTGTTTTGAACTGCACACCAGACACTTATTTTTTCAGTTCATAATACTTATTTTACGTATTTAGAGAAGAATTTTTCTTTTTTCCAGCAGGAAGTTTTCTCGAAGCGGTCCGAATAGAAAATAGCTAGAGGTAATTCTTGTCTGCCATATTTTTTCGGTTTGGTCCAGGAGATTTATGTAAGTATCCCTTGGTTTTCTTTTTGTAGTTACCCTAATCCGACCCATTTGATTCAACTTATCCACGACCCAGCTCTCCAATAAACCCCTGAATGCCGTACGCACCAGTATCGATTATTTTGTTTGCCCTATCTCTACCCCCATGTTCTTACCCTGAGGTAAGCAAAAAACATCGTTACACATTGAAGATGTTTTCGGTAACTGTTCTAATTGAGCCATCCTGTACAAGTATTATAATATCGATATATAACAAAAAAATTTGAATTTAAATAATGTACGTATAATAAAAATGCCGAATAGAATATAGGCCCTTAAATAGTTTTACGCCACTCACTATTTGACGTATTTAAAATCTCACATACATTTAATTAGATTTTTCGTGGCTGTAGGCAATCGGTGTGCTTTTAAAATATAACCCGCGAGGCTGTCAATGTATAAAATCCATTACTAGTTTAGTGCCTAATTTAAAATACCTCAAGAGAAATCAAAATTCATTTAATTTAAAGTGCTTTATGCAGCTTTAATGATCTTAATGGAGTATATGCCATATTAAGCTGTTTTGATGTTCCGTGCTGTAGGTTCAGATCCGGGTTAAGCTTTCTGAGCTTTACTTTGATGTTCTACATTATGTATATACAAGAACGGCTGAATTGTTTTACTGTCATACTAGAAATCATAAATTAGATTATGAGAAGTATAAAACAAATTTGAGTATTTCAAAGTTTCTCTATGATTCGTGAGTGCAGCAGAAAGAAGGCAACGAAACATTTTCTTGTTTTTGTTTCTTAATATGCATAGGTAATGCCTTTCTAAATAAATGATTCAGTAAATTTGTACTGTAAAGTGATGCTAGTAGGAAAGTTTTGGGGAAGTTCTGATTTTTTCATTCCATATGTGTTTTGGGGTGCTAAATCTGAATCTGAGGTTTTCGGACAAAATTTCGTGACGCAACATTTAAAAATCCAGAAGAAATCGTTTTTTTTTGCTTTTTTCCGGTTTTTTGCTTACAACTCAAAAACTGTTAACTTTAAGTAAATGGTCTGTTTACAGAAATTAAAGTACTTAAAGTTCTGAACAAATATCACTATTTTGGTTATTGTACAGACAAACCGTTCGGTCTCAAGTGCAAATTGAAAATTGCAAATTTATACCGGTGTGACTGCAAAACCCAAGTAAGTAAGTACTTAAAGTTCTGAACAAATGTCACTATTTTGGTTATTGTACAGACAAACCGTTCGGTCTCAAGTGCAAATTGAAAATTGCAAATTTATACCGGTGTGACTGCAAAACCCACTTTTTAGATTTTTTTTTTATTTATTTTTTTTTTATTGGGTCAATGCCTCGACAACTAAGATCATTGGCATGGTACAGTCAGGTACCTAGTGTAGTGTGTGTGTGTGTGTGTGTGTGTGTAGAGTAACTGTCTTGATACTTAGCAAAGTCGACGTCATTGTCTTTGCTAAGAGACGCTAATTGTATCCGAACGTCTGCGGTCCCTCTGGTGAGTACCGATCGCACAAGGATAGAAATTATTTTCATTTATTAATTTTTTTAATAAACGAAAATTTCCACCCAGATGAGATTCGAACTCACGACCTTTAGATTTAAAGGTAGGCGCTCTTACAACTGAGCCACAGAGGGGGTAACTTTTTAGATTTGTATTGAAAGGTTTTCAGTTAATTTCCCCTAGTATTTAAGTTAATTAAAATAAAGACCGAGCATGGGATGAGGAAAGGAACAAAATCCAGTTTGTACAAGGCTTTTAGACCCACTGAACAGACTGACTTTAACGATACAAAATATGTCATCGACGGGGGTTTTTTGTTACACCGGGTAAAATGGCGCCAAGGTCAGACATATGCAGACATATGCAGCAGTTATGTATCATATGTCAAATCAAACTACAAATCAAGTGCTATTGTCGTTTTTGACGGCTACCCTGACGAGGCTTGTGGTAGCACCAAGCGTTTAGAACGATTGAGAAGAGCACAAAGAAAACAATCTGCTGCAATATCATTAACAGAAATGATGGTGCCCACTGTGTCGCAGCATAGTTTTCTTGCAAACCCAAAAAACAAGAGCCGGTTTATATCTATGTTAATGGAGAAACTTCATGATGCAAAAATTCATTTAAAGCAAGCTGTGGAAGATGCTGATATCCTAATTATCTCAACAGCTCTTGAGATGGCCCCGTCAAATGAACATGTGACAGTGGTGGGAGAAGATATTGACCTGCTGGTCATTTTGATTGGCCTTTGTAGCTCTGATATAAAAAATGTATTTTTTTTAAGCCAGCAAAAGGAAAGGTTTCGCAAAGCCTCTACAACCCTCATCTGGCTGCTGAGAAAATCCTACTGGATCATATTTTATTCCTGCATGCGATAAGTGGTTGTGATACTACTTCTGCATTGTTTAATCAAGGGAAACTGAAATTTCTTAAAGTCCTGCAGAAGAACAAAGATTTGGAATCGGTAATTGAATCTTTCAAATACCCTAATTCAAGTTAAGATGAGATTGCCACAGCAGGAAACATGTTTTTCACGGCTCTATATGGAAAAAAGAGAGAAAACTAAACGATTTAAGATATAAACAATACGTATCTTCATCATTCAAAAATAAGACCAACATTTCCTCATTGCCCCCAACTCAAGCTGCTGCACGAGAACATTCACTGAGAGTTTACTATCAGGTGCAGCAGTGGTTATCCGGTCAAGCCACACCTAACGAGCAACAAAAAGACCCAAGTGAGTGGGGATGGCAAAAAACTAGTAGTGGTCTTGTGCCAGTACCAACTACTTTGGACCCTGCACCAAACTCAATACTCCGGTACATTTCATGTAAATGTAAAAAGGGCTGTCAACGCAATTGTGGATGCAGGAAGGCGGGACTCCATTGTTCCCCAATATGCGCATCATGCGAAGAACTGTGTAACAATGTTGAGCCCCCAGAAGACAGCTCTGACATAGACGTAGAAGAAACTAAAGAAAGAGGGAGAGGTATGTTGGATCTGACAAGTTATTTTGTAGTCATTCATCTCTCCTTGATATATGATATGTGTCTCTCCTCTTTTTATTTTCCAGGAGAACGACTCCCGACGCGGACGATGGAGCAATCAGACTCTGAGCCAGGACCCGATGCCATCGAAGAACCTCACTACGATGCGGAAGGTATGTTTAATCTCACAATATATTTTGCAATCTTCATCTCTTCTTGATAAATGACTTAACTTTAAACTTTAATTTTCCAGAACAAGCAGAACCAGGACTCATCGTTATCGAAGAACCTCAGCCAGGGCCTTCCAAAAGACAACGGTTCATATAAATTTTGTATATTATAATTTATAATCATAATAATAATATATGATCATAAGTAACGAGATTTTAAGTTTTATTTTGTTACGAGTTTTACCTACCTACTGAATTTGCATAATTTTTCCCTTTTTTCTTTTTAATTACTTGTGTGGAAAACTAGGTGACATTTATAAAATGCCAGCATTAAATATTGAAATGTAAAAAGTGGGTTTTGCATAAAATGCTAAAAATTTACAATTTTCAACTCTTACTAGAAACCGAACGATTCGTCTGAAAACAAAACTAAATACTGGCATTTGTAGAAAATTTCAAGTACTTTAATTTCTGTACATTTACCAAAAGTTGATAGTTTTCGAGTTTTAAGCAAAAAACCCGAAAAAAGAAGAAAAAAAAAACGGTTTATTCTGTTTTTTTTAATGTTGCGTCACGAAATTTTGTCCGCAAACCCCAGATTCGGATTAAGCACCCCAAAAAACATATGGAATGAAAAAAATTAGAACTACCCCAAAACTTTCCTAACAAAAATACAATTTAACTAAACTAAAAACAGACTTTTTTAATTTAACCAAAGAGTGCACAAGTTTTTTATTAAAAAGATCTTCCATAGAGTAGAATAAATACCGTAACATGGGGTGAAATTGATCAGTCTAACATTATTCATTCAAAAATATGATAGTAAATTGTAAAATTCACTAAATATTTTTTACTAATATGATTCAACAAGATCTATATTGAATATTTCTCCATAAAAAATATTTTTCTTATTAAGATCTATTTTAAACCACAATCTGCTTTTCTACAGATTTATTTTATTCACAAAAAAATATGCTAATACGTTACTAAATTAGGTTTAATTTTAGGCATAAACAAAAGTTTTTAATGATATTAAAAAAAAAACTAAACTAAAGAGCAATATTTATTAAAACCTAATATTTTCTAAAAATGGTAATCGTATAAAACAGGTCATGAACCTTTCATGAATCTTTAACCAAAGAATGGCAAAGTTCTGTTAGTACTGCAATGTAAAATACCAAAAAACAGAATTTTAAACATCTTTGAACATACGTATATTAAGTTTAAAATAATATTCTACATATCCATTACATTAACCTGTTTTTTAAACATACAAGCTATTTCTGTGGAATTAAAGAATTCAGGATAGGGCAAAATGGCAATAATATCGCTCACTTCAATCGAAAATTTATCATGTTCAATCAGTTTGAAGGCCTTTTTCATCCGTAGATCTATATCTTATAACATTTAGGTCCTTTTTTTGGTTTTTTGAATTTTAGCAACATAGCGATAATATCACTTCTTCCTTCTTCCTCCCAATACCTTTATATATAGTTCAGCTCAGCAGGCCTCAAAGGCCCAAGGCTTCAACGGTTTTCTTCCATTTCTTTCTATCTTGTGCTAAGTTTTTTCAATGTTTTACCCGCAGATCTTCTTTTGCCGACTCCAGCCATTTTCTTCGGGGGCGGCCTCTTTTTCTTTTTGTACCAGCCTCCGTGTTTATTAGTTCATTGGGAACTCTTCCTTCCTTCATTCTTGCTATATGTCCGAGCCATCTTAATCTTTGAATTTAGCGAGTCTTGTTATTTTTGGTTGCCCATATATTTGCATTATTTCTTCATTCGTTCTTCTTCGCCAGATGTTCCCCTCTTTTACACCTCCATATATCCTACTAAGAATTTTTCGTTCCCATCTATCTAATTTTACTTCCATATCTTTATTTAGTGTCCAGGTCTCGCTAGCATAGAGTACTGTAGGTCGGATAACTGTTGTATATATTCGTTTTTTTTGCTGTTCTGGATATTATCTTCGACCTCAGTATCTTAGTCAGGCTCCCAGCACTCTTACTACCTTTGGCCATTCTTTTTATGATTTCTTGGTTCCCTTCGTTCCTATTTGTTAGTGTCACGTCTAAGTAATCGAATTGGCTAACAACTTCAAAGTTATATTTTTTACTTGGGCTTTGTATCTTAAAGGACTGTCCTAGATGATTTTCGTTTCCCCTCATCACCATATATTTTGTTTTTTCTTGGTTTATTTCTAAACCATATTACCTGGCTATTCTCTCTATTCTAGTAAAGATTTCTCTTAATTCTGCAGGTCTCCTTGTTATTAAGGTAACATCATCTGCATATGCTACGCATTGATGCCTGTGATGATATATTGTGCCTCTAGTGTAGATGTTACATTCTCGTAAAATCTTCTCTAAGATCAAATTGAAAAAATCTGTTGATAACGGGTCACCTTGTCGCAGACCTCTATTGGTGATAAAGCTATCCGAAACCCTTCCTTGTAACATAACTTTACTTTTAGTATCATTGAGTATGCATTTAGTCAGTCTTACTATTTTTGGTGGAAATTCAAAATATTCTATTGCTTCATATACTTTCTTCTTTTTATAGTATCATATGCATTTTTAAAATCAATAAACAGCATGTGTAATGTTAGGATGAATTCATATGATCTAGCTAAAATTTGTTTCATTGTAAAAATTTGGTCTATTACCGATCTGTTTGCTCTGAAACCTGCTTGATATTCACCTAGATAATTTTCAACTTTTGTTATGACCAGAATCTTATACACTGTATCTTGTAGAGCTATTCCCCTGTAATTTTTACATTCTGTAAGTCTCCTTTTTCATACACTGGACATAAGATTGCTTCTTTCCACTGATTGGGTATTTTTTCTTTGATCCATACTTCGCGTATTAACTCAGCGATTTCTTCTTGCACCATTTCGCCACCTTCTTTTAGAAACTCAGTAATGATACTATTTTCAGCAGGTGCTTTATCGTTTTTTTGAGTTTTTCATGATCTCTATAATTTCTTCCTTGAAAGATACTTCTTCATTTACATCTGGGTCCCTTACTTCTTCATGTTGTAGTTGCGTTTGTTCTCTTTAATCTTGGTCGTCCATACATAATATGTTCCCGAAATAATTGGTCCACCTTCTTAATTTTTCATCTGTTTCACCTAACAGATTCCCCTCTTCATCTTTATAATATCTTGATGTGGTTTTGTAATGGGTACCTTTATGAATTTCTTTGTGATCAAAATAAGTGCTCATAATTCGCATATTGTGTTCGAAAGCAAATTCTATTACTCTTTTTCCATTCAGATTAATGTCTCTATGATGACTTTTCCCCCCTATTATTTGTTTGTATACATCCTCCCTGCCAATCTTGGCATTCAAATCTCCTACAATTATTTTTATGTCAAATGATGGTATTTTGTAAAACATATGTTCTAATTGTTCATAAAAGCTATCTTTAACGTCTTCATCTGTATTTTCTGTTGGTGCATGCATATTTATAAGAGTTACTTTTCCATATTTTCCTCTTATTCTTATTTTACATAATCTGCTTGTGACTGCCTCAAAATCTATCACCAGATTGGCAAATGTTTTCTTTATAAAAAATCCCACCCCAAATAGACGTTCATTGTCTCCACTGTTGAAAAACACGTAGTTTCCCACATCCATGGTGAAATTTCCTTTTTGTTTAGTTTCTTGTATAGCTGCAATATCTATCTCATATTTCTCTAACGTATCTGATGAGTTCTTTAGTGCCCCTACTTCAAAAGTCCCCCTAACATTCCATTGTCCTATCATCATCCTATTCCGCGCTTTATTCCTCTCCATATTTTCCTGACCACTTTGCCTGTGTAGACTCAGTTTTTTTTTCATATTCTCTAGTTTTTCAGTACTATGGTTCCATTTCCACCATTCATCGTTTATACATATTTTCTGATAGCCGACTTTTGTTTCATTCCTTTTCCTTTTTCTTCTCTCGCCATACCTCCCAATACCTTTACTAACAGAAAAACTTTTTTTTGATGTTTTTTTTGTTAAAAGCAAAATATTCAACCCCATCATTATTGTCAGACTCATCCAAATTAGACGTTTCACTTTATGTTTCGTTATCGCTTGGTGGCTCTTCTTTGCTGTCACTTTTAGTTTAATCAGGTTGCTGAGCTGCAACACTTTTTAATGGCTCGACATTTAGTTTGGTTCGCTTAACATTTCGCCTGGAAGGTGCAGCTGAATATCTTTTCTTCTTTAGATAATATACCAAAAGGTTGGCGATTTGGCCCTTTAGTTTTTCATCTTCTCTATATAACTTATTTAAAACTTTCTCGGGTGAGAAAGGATAAATTCCCCGTGGTTATAAAGGAGGATAAATCGTCTTAAAATTGTTCTAAAGGTATTTTCTTGTAGCATTTGCAAAGGCGCAAAAGAAAACGGAATATGGCGAAGAAGATACAACTTTGAACTATACAAAATATACCAGGATCCGGATATTATAACATTAATTAAAATAGGATGGCTGCATTTAATAGGACATGTAGAAAGAATGGAAGAAGGCGAAGTACCAAACAAAATATTCAAACAGATGGCAGTAGGAAAAATAACAAGAGGAATACCGAAGTTGAGATACTTAGAACAAATATAAAATGATATAACAACTTTAAAAATAAAAAAAAACTGGAAAAAAAAACACGAAACAGATCAGAATGGAGAAGAATCCTGGAACAGGCCAAGACCCAAAAAGTGGTGGTGCAAATTATCACTGGTCATCACTGGTCGAGCCAGTGATGATGATGATTTGCAAGTAATTACTATTTAAATGGAAATAAGACACAATTAATGGTTGAAGTAAGCTTATTAACGTTTTAATTTTCACTTCAGAAGTCGGTATTTTGAGAACGATTTCCGAAGTGGAAATTGAAACGTCAATAAACTTACTTTAATCTTTAATTGTGGCTCATTCCCATTTAAATAATATTTACTTCATCTTGAAAGTCTTATATATGCCTGGTTAGTGTATCTTCAAACAGGTGGTTGCTTGCTGAGGAAAACCATTTCTTTTTCGTGTTTTTAGGATCATCCTTGTTCTGTCCAATTTAACGTTTAATAAATCTTAGCTCTAATTAATCTGTGGTCGCTTTCTACTGAAAATTTGATTTTGAATCCTATTGAAGTATTTCGATGTCTTTGATT